TGCCCTCCCTGTCCCTAAACCCCAGTGCTTTGAAAAACTCTGCGCCATCATCCTGAACTACAGTGTGAAGCCCTTTACAGAACATTATCAAGTGTTCGGCAGTTTCTTCTTCCTCTCCACACGCACTGCACACTGTGTCTACCCCTTCGTATTTGGCCCAATATGTCTTGGTTCGCAATACTCCCGCCCTGGCCTCAAACAGTAGAGAACTACCCCGAGTATTATCATATATCCTTTCCTTGGCAATTTCTTGCTTAAAAGTTCGATAGATCTCTACTGCGGACTTTTTAATCTTGCCGATTTTCCACATGTTAGTCTCCATTTCCTTCACTTTCTTTTTAACCGATAGTTCTTTTTGGTTTGGCCACCTGCTGTTTTCTAAGTACTTATAAAGTGAGCTATTCTAGCTCACTTTAGTACTTACCAGTCAATTTCCTGGTTCGCTTCCTCCATTTTGTGTCGACATTCTTCATGTACCAGTAGCTGAAAACCTTCCTAGCCCAACGCTCCTCCCCCGTTTCTCTCAATCACTTCTCAACTTTTATCTTGCTGCTAGTTTCTCTGCCCTCAAATGATTTCCATCCCATATCACCTTGTACTCCCTGATTTGGTGTATTCCCGTGAGCTCCTAAGGCAAGCCTACCTATTCCACGTTGCTTAATTTCTAATCTTGCTTGAACTTCCGATCTCATGCACAAGACCGTATTGCCGAACGTCAGACCAGGAACCATGACCCCTTTCCATATTCCTCTCACAACCTCATACCTATTGAAATTTCACAGTGCCCTGTTTTTCATAACCGCTGCATTACTGTTACCTTTAGTCGTCACGTATATTTCGTGTTCCCTCAGGTACTCGGCCCCATTGCTTATCCATACGCCCAGATATTTGTATTTATCTGTTATCTCTAGCGTGACCTCCTGTATTCTAAGCTGACTACTTTCATTATCATTAACAAACATGACTGCTGATTTTTCCTTACTGAATCGGAAATCTAACCTATCTCCCTCAGTACCGCATATGTCCATCAATCTCTGCAAATCTTCCTTGTTGTCAGCCATTAGCACTATATCATCTGCGTACATCAATGCTGGTAGTGCCTGTTCAATGAGTTTTCCTTGTTTGGCTAAAGTGAGGTTGAAGCCAAGTCCACTTCCCTCTAATTTGGCCTCTAATCCTTGTAGGTACATCATGAATAACAAGAGTGACAGTGGACACCCCTGCCTAAGTCCCCGTTTCACCTCTGTGGGCTTGGATACCTGTTTTTCACACTTTATAACTACCTTGTTACTTTTATAGATTTCCTTTAATGGATTAGTGACTCCATCTTCCACACCCAGTGTTTCTAGTATTCCCCACAAGTCCTCTTGAACCACGCTATCATACGCTCCTTTGATATCAAAAAGCGCTAACCACAGGGGCCTGAGTTCCTTTTCTGCTATTTCGATGCACTGAGACAGTGAGAACAGATTGTCTTCCAACCTCCTGTGCTTCCGAAACCCATTTTGCAGTTCCCCCAGCACCCCCTCATCCTCTATCCATGCCTCCAGTCTTTCCTTTATAATATGCATCGCCAGCCTGTAGACCACTGATGTCACTGTCATAGGACGGTAGTTGTTTATGTCATCTTTGTCCCCCTTTGCTTCATAGATCATGTTTATCCTGCTAAGTTTCCATCCATCAGGGACTTCACCATCGATTATTGTTTTGCTCACTGCCTCTCTCAAAGTCTGTTTCGACTTCGGACCCAATGTCTTTATCAGCATAACTGGAAAGCCATCTGGGCCTGTTGATGTACTACTTGGAACCCTCTTCTCAGCTCTTTCCCGCTCTCGTTGTGAAAATGGAGCCATTGTGCCACTTGATCTATCCCTGCTTATTGTGGTGCATAAGGCACTTCTTTGTTGAAATTTTTCTGTCACCCTTGTTCTTATATATTCAATAGCTTCGTCCCCTTCTAGCCTAGCACCTTGAGCTGTAGTTATAAACCTCTGCTCTAGGTTTGTTTCATTTCTTAGGGAGATTAGATGGTTCCAAAATTTCGCAGCTGCCTTTCTGTCCTTTTTATGTACTTCTGCCAGCCACTGAGCACCCTTTCTTCTAATCTTTTCATTGATCAGGAGGGATGCTTCCCTTCTAGAGCTTAGAAAGATTTCCCATTTTCTTTCAACATCATCTGTCGGTTCAACCCGTTGCTTAGCATGTCTGTGTTCCCTAGAGGCTTCCTGACGTTTTGCTATGGCTCTCTTAACTTTCTCATCCCACCAACTCTTGGGCTTGTGTCTTCTTTTCGGGGTGATTTGTCACGTGCCTTCGCAAGCTCTAGCCCAAAGAGTCTAATTAGATTTGTGTATGTCCACACAATTTTATTATCCTCAGTGATTACTTTCTCAACTGGTTTAGTAGCAATTTCTCTTTGCCTCTCTTAATGAACATTTTCCTATAGTTGCTCATCTTGTCTCCTTCCCACTTTCGCTGCTCTTCCAAAACTTAGCTTGATACGTTTGTGATCACTACCCAGACTTCTGGAGCCACCTTCATCTATGTGCATTCCCCTGAGCTTATCATACATCCTATGTGACATCAGTGCGTAATCTATCGTTGACTGCAGCCTCCCTACCTCCCATGTTATTTGTCCTTCACACTTCTCGGTACTGTTGCAAATGATGAAATCATGCCTTTCACACATATCCATGATCATTATGCCTGTTGAGTCGGTATACTCATCTACATCTTCTATGTGCGCATTCATATCTCCTAGTATAATTACCTCGCACTCTCCTCCTAATTTCTCAATGTCTTTTGATATACACTCCACCATTGCCTGGTTTTCCTCTCCAGCCTTTGCTCCCGTCCACAAGTACACAAAACCAAGGAGTGTCATTTGCCCTGCCACTTTCCCTTTTAGCCATAAATGTTCCTTGCATCTCTGCTTGACTCTTTGCCAAACCATGCTCTTATGTATAAATGCACTGATTCCACCCTCCTTTTTGCTGCCTTCTGTTCTATTGCAATATTCCCATACGTAGTCCGGATTGCAGGGTGGCTGCTCCAATTCCCGAAGATGTGTCTCCACAACCCCATATACCATCAGCTCCTCCTGCCTCAACTGCTCTTCTATCTCTTCCCACTTTAGCCTATTCCTGCCACCCTGCATGTTAATATAGCCTACGTCTGACTTAGCTCGGTCCTTGTGCTTACGGCGATTTCTTCTCCCATGGACTTCGTGTGGCTTGAATATTTGCGCCCCTTTAGGTCCGTCTTTGGCTACACTGTTGGCCTAAGGGCTCTGGGGCCGCCTAAAAAGCTATGGCTTGGCGACCCATTCTGTTACCGACCCTCCTGCCCGTCGAACCACTGCAGTGAATGCCATCCTGTGAAAAGGGGCAAGCGCCGGGCTCGTACACGTCTTGGTTAACTTCCATTACGCTGTATCCGAGTTGCCAGCTCAAAACCCTGATCACACAATTGGCCTCCACTACCCTCTTTTCAATCCCACGAGGCTGCCCCCAGACCTCTGGGACTGTGCATATGGTCACATGCAGGGGTAGTGAGGATGGCGCCGTGCAGGTCGGACGCGTTGCGATTGGCTCCAGTGATTTCTTCGCTTCTTGGTGTTATGTGAGGCCGCATTCACCCGAAATTGGGTCGCAACGGACTTCAAAGATCACCGGGACGCTGTGGACACAAGAATCACACTGGTGGGTGGACTATTTGTACATTAATAAGTGACTTTCGTGACGACGACGCTGAGTGTGCAGCTACAGACGCCGTCGTTCGGCCCGGCTACACCGTTGTTTGCGTGGTGCACAGGCACCGCGTCTCAAACGGAAAAGGACTTGTTCTCGCCACATTAAGAGATGGAAGATGAATGATCGAAGACACCGGGGGACGCTGAAGAGGATAACAAGGATTCCGGGTGGATTACGGTGACTAAAAAACGATCGGAAGTGAGAAAAGACAGTAGAGCTGCTGGCGCCGGAACGCCGGCGTCTAAGACGAATGCTCAGGAACCTGCGCCCGGCCGTCACAGCTTGAGAGATGTAAAGAAAAACCTTATAAGAAGAAGCAAGATGCCACCGCTGCCATGTGAAGAAACTAAGGTCGTCGTGAGGCCGAGAGGTGGTCTGTGTATTAGCAAGTCTGGCGCGTCTGTCGTGGCAGAGGCAATATGGAGTGCGGCGGGGCTCTGTCCGGAAGAGAGAAACACGGACACAATGTGCCCTAATCACCTGCAAAATATTACGATCGTCAGTACTTCGTGCCAAGAGAATGTTAAGCGCTACGTTAACGTTGAAGCTACTACGGTGGTCGGACAGCGCCACCAAGTCAGTGCATATGTTGCTGCTCCGCATGCCACCTGCAAGGGAGTCATCCATGGGATCCCTCTTAGTGATGATCCAGGAGCCATCGACCGGAAGATTGTCAACGCGAGAAATCCACTGGCCCTCGGAGCAAAAAGAAGCAAGAATACTGGCGTGATCATAGTGCTGTTCGACTGGTACAAGGTTCCCAATTATGTTTCCTATGGCGGCACCCTCATCAAGTGCACTTTATACAGGAAGCAAGTTGATGTTTGCTATGCCTGCGGCCGACTAGGACACCACTCTGACGTCTGCCCGACGCCCGACGCTTCAGTCTGCAAGGCTTGCAGACAAGCTATCCAGCAAGAAGAGGATCATGTTTGTGAACCAATATGCAGTTTGTGTGGCGCAAAGCACCTCACCGCATCCGGGGAATGCCAGCACTGATATCGGATACCCTATGTCTTCAGGCGCAGGCGAGGCCTTAGGGCCCGCGCCCTTCGGGAGAGGTCTCCATCCGTCAATGTCGATGGTTTCCTCGAGCTCAACGACTGTCATCAGCAGGGCCAGCCTGGACCATGGACTCCTGGAGGCCGATCCAAATCACGAGGGAGATCCAGAACCAGAGGCAGCTGCATGAGTCGTTCCACGTCCAGATTGCGTCTCGGATCCCGTTTGAGATCCGGGGCCCGCTCCATGTCCAGGACACGGTCTCAATCCAGGGGTGGCACCAGACCACGTCCCAGCTCCGGTGCCCGTTCCGGATCCGGTCTCGGACCTGGCCAGGGAAAGACTGACGCACCGAGCACCAGACCGGACCCCTCGCCCAGGACAGACTGCGGGCACGCACGGGGACTCCAGCTGTCCGGGGCAGTCCACGCCGCCGAGGACCAGAGCAGGGGCAAGTGAAACCTAACCTTGGCCGACAGGGTTCGTAGTAATGACGGCGAGCAACCCATGCAATGCGACCCATCCCCAGAGCATGCTAGAGACGCGGAGATATTACGATTGAAAAAGGAAAACGCCAAGCTTAAGGATACGCTTACTAAAATTGCAAATGAAATGGCGGAGTTCAAAAGAATGCTGAGCACGATGCACAGAAAAACTGAAGGCGAAACCACCGATACGCCAGTTCCGGCTCCTATTGGTGATGGGCCCATGGCAACCAATCGCAGGGCGGTAGTAAGCAAACTTAAGAACACGGAATCTCAAGTCGAGGAGATTAAGCAAACGCTGGTTACAATTACAGAGAACATTAAGATGGTGGCAGGGAGTGTAGCTAGCCTCACGGAGAGTGTTAGGCAGATGCAGGATGCACTCAGTGACCCAGTAGAGGGGCTTAGGGCAATGAACGAGCACATCATCGCGCAAGAAATTCACGCCTAACTGCCTAAATCTGCGCCACAGGGTGCGTCGCCTGGCAACGTGGAAATGGCCATTCCCGTACACGTCAATAGCCGAGGAGCTAATCATGAAAATGAACAGATTTTTCGAGCCACAGTGACCCCCCCAGGGCGGTGATCAAAGTAGAATCCATAATGGATAACGATAAAACACTGTCTGTATTTGGCAACGGAACTGCAGGGGGTACGCTGGTAAGAGAGCACTCCTGCAGCAGTACTTTAGAACAATAACGAAGAAACCTCAAATTATAGCACTTCAAGAGACCTTAGCCTCTGCAGCGTCCCTTTCTGGTTATCGGGCAGTCCCTGGCCAGTCAGGAAGACGAGGTGTCTGCACACTTATAAGTAAAAAGCTGACGCACGTCGCCCACAACTTGCAGATGGCCAGATGCAATATCGATAATGTAATGGTAGAGATCCTACACTCCAAGGTGCAATCAGCGGAAAAACAGTGTTTTTGTTTTGAATGTCTACAGTAACCCCAGGCACAGGCGCCAGCATTTCAAGACGTTGCTCGAGAGGGCAGTTGAATTAGCCGGTCCTCGGCCCCTTGTCATAGTCGGTGACTTCAATGCCCCACATGGCTTATGGAGATACGTGTATGAGACGAGAAAAGGTCGCGACCTCTGGCAGGACGCCACCGAACTAGACCTTACCTTAATCACTGATAAGGCTTTTCCTACGCGGATAGGCAACTCTGCGGCGAGAGACACGACGCCAGACCTCGCTTTCATCAAGAATGTCGAAAAGACTACATGGGCCAACACCGCCATGGATTTTGGCAGCGACCACTACGTTCTGCAAACTTCTATTATAGTGGACCGTAGCAGAGTCCGAGAGTTCACGGTGATTGACTGGGATCTTTTTCGCAGCATTCGCGGTACAAGGGCCAGTGCTCCTGACAATTTTGAGGAATGGTGCGAGGGCATCCGCAGAGATACCACCACTGCCACCAAGAAGATAAATACAGATTTAAATGTGGAGAAGATGGACAGTAGGCTTGCCCACCTGCTCGAAGCCAAGACCTGCTGTTTTCTCGATGGAACAAGCAGAGGCACAACCGTAGGCTGCGGCAAAGAATATCAAAGTCTAACAAAGAAATCGAAAAACATTGCGACACACTGTGCAAACACCAGTGGGACGAGTTGTGCGAGTCCGTCGACGGTCTAATCAGAAATGACAAGTCCTGGCACCTTCTGAAGCACCTCCTGGACGAGCACAGCACTAGAGCCAACCAGAGACACACTTTAGCCCGTGCCCTTCACGAAGCCACCAAAGAACAGGGGGTTGACGAACTCGTTACCCGATTAGTTTCCAAGTACCTGCCGGTCGAACGAGAGGACGAAGACGGCGTGTTCCCAGAGTATGGTGGTCCTCCTCTACCTGAACTAGACGAAGACGTTTCAGAGGCTGAAATCAGGAGAGTGATACAAATGCTCAATCGCAAGTCGGCACCAGGGCCAGACGGGATCACGAACAGAGCCCCCAGAAACCTCGACGACGCATCCATAGAACGTCTAACTGGTTTCATCAATGAAGTATGGGAAACGGGAAGGGTTCCTGAGGAATGGAAGCTAGCTGACACCGTACTGATTCACAAGCCAGGAAAGTCTCCTAGCGTTGAGAATCTCCGCCCCATTTCCCTCACGTCGTGCATGAGCAAGGTGGCAGAGCACGCAATTCTCAACAGACTTAACGACTACCTGGAGGGAAATGAGATCTATACGCAGAATATGATTTGGTTTCGTACCGGCCTTTCAACGCAGGATGCAATGCTGCTCATTAAGCACGAAGTCCTTGATGGATACTCTAGAGATACAAAGGCTCTTCTTGGCCTAGACCTAGAAAAGGCCTTTGACAACATCAAGGATGAATTCATCTTGGAGACTGTGGCGAAACTCGAGCTTGGGCCCAGGCTGTACAACTACGTCAAGTCCTTCTTGTCTGGAAGAAAAGCGAGGCTGCGCATTGGGAACTTTTTCTCTGATGACGTACCAGTCGGACATCGAGGCACGCCTCAGGGGTCTGTGATTTCTCCGGTGCTGTTCAATCTCTGCATGATCGGACTATCGAAAAGACTGGCTAGCATGGACGGCATCAAGCATACCATCTACGCTGACGACATCACAATCTGGTGCGTTGGCGGCAGCGAAGGCCGGGTGCAAGATGCCCTTCAAGAAGCAGTCGCCGAGGTGGAATCGTACTTGCGCCAAACGGGACTCAGATGCTCACCTGCCAAGTCGGAGCTCCTGCTCTATAGAAAAGAACGAGGTGGTCGACCTAAGGGATGGAAACCCGTCGAATAAAGCGATATACACATTTACACGAGTGACGGCGAGGAAATACCGAGGGTAGACACCACCCGGATCCTCGGCATGTTTATTGAAGCGAAGGGTGGCAACGGCACTGCTCTGCGGAAGATTGTCGCCAAGACTGACAACGCTTTTCGACTCATCAAAAGAGTCTCCGGGAGACATAGAGGCCTTAAGGAAGACAATTTGTTAAGGCTCATCAATGCGTTTGTGCTCTGCCACTTTACCTACACCGTTGCCATGCACAACTGGCTTAGGTCGGAGTGGGACAACTCGACGTGATTATCAGAAAGACCGTCAAGAAAGCACTGGGGCTTCCTGTACACACACACACACACACCGAGAACTTGCTCGCGCTCGGTGTGCACAACTCTGCTGCCAAGATAGCAGAAGCGCAGCAACGCTCGCAGCTTGCTCGCTTGTCCACTACACTGATCTCCACTAGGGTTGCTGGATGGCGTTTCGCCGCTGTCGCGGCCTGGCGCGCGCACGGTCACCGGAAGTTCAATGGCTCGTCCCGGAAGTTGAGCGTCTGCTACGCTTCTCAACCGCTGATCAGCGTTCCCATTGACGCATTTTGCATTTTGTTCTCACTTAATTGCATTTTGGTGATACACATCGCGTTCAGATCACAACTTATGCTATACCGAAACATGCGACGTTAATATGAAGCAGTTTATAATTGCGAAGGAGAACGAAAATGTCACTTAGGTATCGGTTCGAGAGGAGACGACGCAGCTCGAACGGGATTTATGCTGGCGAGTGGACTTTATGATTCGTGTTAAGATGCACGTCTTACAATAAATTAACAGTCATGAAGGGGCTTGTATTAGTCGAAAACAATAAGTCAACAGCCGTGAAAGGCCTTGCATTATCGGAAAATCAACTAGCTAAGCGAGTTCGATAACAACGCGGAGGAAGCTGCCTGAAACAGAATAACCGATTTGATGTTTGCTACGTGCCGGCCAAAAAAAAATCATGAAATGGCTGTGCGCAGCTTGCTCCTGTTTTACCTTTGAAGGTTAGTACATCGGAACCCTTTACAATATGAATTCAAGCATATGTGTGTAACCAGCAGGTCAAAGTAAATTCTTTTAAAACGCGCTTTCTCATCATTGCCTGACAAAAGGTATCGTCCTTTCTCTTGAAGGAAAATTTCTAGCTTATGAACACATTTATTGCTAGTTTTCAGGGACACCCACCCATTGCGCACACGCAGTGCCTAATGCAAACTGGTCTATCTAGATTTAGATTTGCCTAGTGGTTACGGCTTCAACTGGACATTTTAGTGTAACCCTTAAAGAATGATAAAGGAGGACGCGTGGAACTGCTTCATTCGAATTGAGAGGCCTGCAATTGTACGAAAAACTCATTTACTCAGAACGTTTGTGCACGTGTCCTTGTTACTGACAATGCAGTGCCTGGAGATGGTTGGCAATAGTGCATGCAGGTTAATATTTAAGTATGCTTCCTGCCTCGCCATTGAAAACAAAACAGGCATACATGTACAAAGATGGATTTCACGTGTTTATTGTACTCGAAGCACTTAAGAACTGCCACGTCACGTCACTTCACTGGGGACTGAAAATAATCAACTCTGCAAGTCGCTTGAAGCACTTAAGAACTGACACGTCACGTCACTGGTGACTGAAAATAATCAACTCTGCAAGTCGCTTGAAGCACTTGAGAAATGCCACGTCACGTCACTTCACTGGTGACTGAAAATAATCAACTTTGCAAGTCGCTTGCGGATGTTTGGTCCTGTTATCTTTGCAGTAGCTTGCTTCGCGGCATGGTGCATCCTGATCTTCACGTAGCAGCCGATGACACATTTAACAAGACGCACAAAGTGGTTGGAGTCAACTGCTGATTCGAACATATGGCCATGCAGTTCCGGCCTTGAGCTTGTTCGTGCTCAGCACTCCCGAAAGTTCTGCCATAACCTTGGCTGTCACAGTGTCAGCTGCATTCTTTTTTGGAAGGCCTCCGTCGTGAACCTTCTCCTGCAGTCGAACAGCTTTTTCAGTCAGCTGACAGATGTACGTTGTCGATGACGACGGCTTGGAAAGACCTCCACGGTTTTTTCTGTTCAGGAGTGCCGAACCACATGTCTCGGCAATGGTGGCCGAGTAGCATACTGCGCAAGGTATTTTACGTTTGACCATTCGGCAAACAAACCCTGCGATGTAACCAACGACGTTTCCAAGGTACGGAGACAGTGCAGGGAGATCCTCAACTATGACATCTAGCTCGCTCTCGTCGGGTAGGTCTATGCCTTGCATGAGGTCTTGTGTGCCGCTTCACTTTGCTGTGGCCATGTCGAGCTCATCGTTGGAGCAAAACTGACTGCTCACGTACAGTATGCGCGTATTGTCAAGAGACTCACAGTTCCCTCGCCCACCCTTCACCTGGTTGTGTGAGACAAGTCGCTTGTATGCCGCCACAAATTGTAAGACTGTGGGATTGTTATTCCAGCCCCCTTTAGAACGCACAGCGGCAAAGAACAGTTCAATGTGGTCTTGTGAAAGCTTGTATGTAAGAAAGTAACGGAGTGGAGCATTGTCCGAGAGGAGGAGCGCGGATGCCAGACCGATGACACTTTCAATGGTCACCAGAAATCCTAGAAATGGAGTTCTTCTGGGCGTCCTGAAAATGGGAACACCTGATCCGTCAGTCAGCCCCCGAATGTACTCCTTGACTTCTTCGAAGAAGTTCATCCAGGTTCCCTTGTTGCTAGGTCGGAGCGGCGCTTTGAAACCATTGGCCACTGGGTTGCGTGAATTGAGGAAATCAAACAGTTTATCGAACATTCGAATAAATTTCACAGTTCCTTCTGAATTTTTGAACTGTGGGAGTTGCAAGTCTCCACGACAAAAATATATGGCGTCAGCCACACTAGTGCTTAAAGTCTGGACAGCAAGGTTGACTTTCATCTTCTGTTTCTGCCACTGAATGTGTGCAGCACGTAGTTTTGTTGCTGCATGCAGGCCTTCTTTTTCTTGAAGTTCTTGTAGCTGGACAATGTAGTCCCAGCTCACCGATGCGCCTGATGCGTCCCTGAGGCACCCAAGAGCAGAAAGAGCATTTCTAACTAACTTGACCATGTGACATGCGTATAAAAGGCAGTACACCTTTTCTTGTGTTACAGGGTGAGGGAATGATGTTGACATCGCTGATGCATCTTCAACGGAAGCCCCCAGGTCTTTGAACATTGTAAAGTTACAACGGAGACCATCACATGTCAATGATGTCACGTGCACTCCTGTCTCATGCAACTTTGTCAGACAGAGCTTCACAATGTTCGCACGCTCTTTTCCTGAAAGACCATTGATCAAAAAATAGCCACACGGTACCTTCCAGTGGGAGTCCAGAGATACGAGCATGAAAACAAGGGCTTCAGACGCAACTGCGTTACTGTCATCGTCCACTTCATTGCCAATATCCACGTAGCCTCGAAATTTTTTGCCGTCCCATTCAAGGTGCTTTCTAATGGCCATTTCATCAACAACAAGGTTGCAGCGAAGCTGTTTGTTGTTCTTCTTAGCCTCATTGGCTTTTGCTCGGATGGCGTTGATTGCTTCGCTTGTGAATCCAGGTTCTCCGTTAATGGAGCTATACCATTTAGTTATAGTCGATGGATGTGGCAAGGAACATTGAAATGTTTCTCTGACATAGTTATATGCCTTTGTCGAGTAAAACTGTAGCGTGAGTGTAAATGCACGCAGTGCAGGAGAATATTTGTCTCGGCTTAACTTAACAGACGACTTGTCGCCTTCACTGGATGTTTGCTTGAGCAACCGTTTCGTAACTTCCAAGGGGATCCCCGTGAAGCACCTTTCAAGCATTGCCGAGGCATCTTCTGAAATGAGCTGCTTGTGCTTGAGGTCATCAATTATTTCATTAAATGAGCTGACCTTCCTTCTTAACCGACGTTCTCGTTCAAGGCTGAGCTTCAGCTTTCTTTTCACTGTAGCCGCTGAATCTGTGCAAGCATCCAGTTTCCTCTTCAGTGTTTTTGGCGTGTCAAGGACTGCATAGCTGTGCTCGGCGACCTGAAAACAAAACAGTGAAAGTTAAAGCTGTTGAAAAAGACACCTTTCACAAAAACCACTCATCATATGACAGTCTTTGTAAAGCAGGCATCTGTTCGTAGCTTACGTGGTTTAACGCTGAAAATAAGCAACCAGGTGCACAGGGAAGTTTAGAAATTAACTTTGTCCCCTTCATTTACCGGTGCACTCGAGAAATGCCACATCAGACAGGAATTTCAATATTTTCCCTGGATTAGAAAAACTGGTGCTGCAGCCATGAATAAAACCAATGTTCTGCTATGACTACAGAACATACCAGGACTACTAACTTGATTCAAATTGGATGCTATCCTGGTGTGCATAATGTATACAAAGTTATCGTGTTGGTTACCACGAGATTGCAAGAAAGTGGCCTGACTAACATCGGACTAGTTACATTCAACCGAGGACGGACCAAGTAGCTGCACTCGGGCAGCGTAGTACAAAAAAGGCAACTTGCATGGGCTGAGTTTTCTTGCCCCGTGGTTGGAGTGTTGTCGTTTGGCTGTTCCACTGGGGTCACATCCACAATGGCAGTTCTCTGCTTAGGCGACTTTCTCTCAGCAGTCCTCTGAAACAGCCGTGTTTCATTCACAGTTATGCTTATTTATTACTGCGAGTGCAAAATGCTGTAAGTAAAAAAATATGCTGGCGTCAAGCATATTATAGCAGTCTAGCAGTTTCTGAATTATACCACTAGCATCTTAGACAGCTATCATAGCACCACTGAGATATATAACGCAGATAGGAGCATTTCAGAAATTGAAAGAAAAAATTGGGCACTTAAAATTCAAGACCTCGCGCTTTGTAACGTAATGGACATGTTTTTCCAATTCCGTTTCATTGCTTACAGTACATGGTTTTCAGAGTAAGTCTGCCAAACAATTCCTCAACCACAGCTTCTCACAGCTACATGTAGATTTTATTGTGCTCCGAGCTAATTTGTAAAGCGTCATTTTTAAAGGGACTCAGCAGATGAACTACGAAAGAAGGTAGCGCCCATTCAGGCGATTTCAGTGTCTAATAAACGTAGCATCAACTGTAGGGGTAGTTATACGAACGCTAAACGAGTGAACTGCGATGGCCGAACAGTATGCTTTTTTTTTCCGGGCCGCTATACCAAAATGCCGAGATGTCGTACTATACCTTTTCCAGGTGCTTCGGGAAAGAAAACAAGGTGGGCACGGCGTCAGGCTGTAGCCGAGTTCGTGCGCCCGTTCTGTCAAAACAGTTGTCAGTAAAGTGGTCACTGCAGAGTCTGCTACCTGGGGATGGAGTCCATTTGTCCCTTCTTAAGTTTACCACCCAACGCCGGTATAAATCCGGCTTATAGCGTGGGAACCTGCGTAACAAGAGCCACAGCTTAACAACAACACTGATATGACGTTTGCGTTTCGCTGCGTATCACGCACGTCGCACAGAATATTGTAATACTTACAAGTGGAACGTCTTCCCAGACGACTTCTATGGTCTGCTGGTGCAGCTGACGGCGCAACAAGCAGGCATTTTTAGCGGAATGCGCGCGAAACCAGCCCATACGTAGCACGCGCTATGCTGGAACGGCGGCCATTTGTCCGACTTCCGGGACGAGCGCTCGAACTTCCGGCGGCCGCACGCCGGAGAGCTCGAAGCGCCATCCAGCACCCTAGTGGAGATCAGTGGTCCACTACGACGGCTGGTTGGCGCATACTTGGCGAGCTAGGTTTTAACCCAATGGAGCTGGAAACAAATAACGTGCGTATATCAAAACATATACAGGAAAACTTCATTGTTGCCCCAATACTTCGCAACACTCACTCTGTACACAATGAGGGACGTCGTCGGGCGAAAGCGACGGCTCTACTGAAGCAACTGGGAAAAGGTGGCGTAAATGCAAGTTTCGTTGACGCTGCAGCATATCGGGACGGCAAAAAGTTCGCAGTGGTGCTCGTGGACCAAATGGGTTCGACTACGAACTGCTCCACGGTACGCACAACGAATCCCCAGGTGGCCGAACAAGTGGCCATCGCACTCCCTCTGCTAAATGGTCGGGGAGAAGAGGTGTACAGCGACTCCAAATCCGCAGTCAGAGCCTTTCAGAAGGGCCGCATACAACACAGGCAGCCAAGATCTTGAACAGCTCGACCAGCGATACGATTGTCCCTCACACCATACATTGGTTCCCCGCGCATGTCGGCTCCGTAAATGGCGTTGCACAGAACCCGAACGAATCGGCCCACACAGCAGCGCGCGCACTCACTGACCACGCTGCTCTCGACATGGGCGACGGCTCCAGTGCCGATGACGTGGGACATAAAGACACACCTACTACACACAACGAGATTACCAAGTATTACTACATGGCGAGGCGGGCATTCCCAATGCCACATTC